TCCTGGAGCTCACTTGGTAGTCCAGGCTGGCCTCGAACTCACAGAGATCCGCCTGCCTCTGCCTCCCAAGTGCTGGGATTAAAGGCGTGCGCCACCACGCCCGGCCCTAGTGAGTTTTTTAATTTAATTTTTTAGGTCTATGAGTGCTAGTCTGTCTGTCTGTCTGTCTGAATGTCTGTGTGTGTGTATGTATACCTATATGTGCACCTGGTTGGTGCCTGTAGAGGCCAGAAGAGAGCATCAGATCCTCTGGAACTGTAGTTATGAATGGCAGTGAGCCACCATGTGGATGCTGGGTACTGAAATGGGTCCTCTGCAATAGCATCAAGTGCTCTTAACCACTGAACATCTCTGCAGCCCCCAAATAATCAGGCTTGGTTAAAAATTCATTAGAAGGGCTAGGGAGATGGCTCAGTGGTTAAAGAACTTGCTGCTCTTGCAGAAGACCTAGATGCTCATAGCTCTCTGTGATCCCAGTTCCAGGAAATCTCACTCTCTCTTTTGTCCTCCATGGGTGCTGCATGCATGTGGTGTATGGAAACACACACAGACAAAACACCCATACTCAAAAATAAAGAGAAATAGATGTTTAAAAATAGCAAGAAAAATATGTCTGAGCAGAAAAATAAAGATTTGTGAAGTTTTTAAAAAGCAACTGGAATTTTCTCTTCTACTGTTAACAGAACAGAATAGTAGATGCCAAATTAGCTGATTCTTCTGGCTCCCAGGCCTCTTCACTTGGAGTGGGAAGCCCTGTCACACTGTCTTGGTCTAATTTATCTTCTGTCATCTCAGGACGGCCACAAGGCACTTGTTAAATAATATTCCTGTCAGTGGAGCCTCAGTTTTCCCGACCTCCTGGGGAGAACGCCCTCTCACCCACCCTAGGTCTGCCCTCAGCCCCCAGGTGTGGCCTCTGCTGTCCTTGTACACAGACAGGGAGACACCAGGAAAGGACGTGAATGGCCTCGTTTATTCCTCAACTCAAAAGCTCTTGGGAATTGATGGATAATTTCTGCTGTGTTAGAGGGAAGAATTCAAATCAGTGTTTCCCTCTGATATCATGAGGTTCACTCAAGGGAGGGATTAATCAGATCAGTCGGGTTTCCAGAGTAGGAGAGGCCTGCAGGGAATGAAGAGCCCAGCAGACAGGCAGTGAGTGTTCCCCCTCCATGCACCACTCAGCTGGCTGTGGTCCCTGCTGTGTAGGGGAGGGGATGTCTGGGGCAGCAATGACAGGCAGCTGGGGAGCAGCAGCAGGTGGAGCCCTTTAGGGTCCTAGTGTAGCGGGCCTCAGGCGCTGGGTCCTTCCGTCCTAGAGTGACGGCTCCTGTGCAGCCTTAGGTATCAGGAGCGGGTCTGAGCGCCCTGGGGCCGGGCAGCAATCTGCAGTTCCTCCAGCAACCGAGGCTTTTTGCAGGCTTTTATCCTTCTCGGCCTCAGTTCCCTCTGGTCTTTCCATTTTCCTAGGCGGTGGCTCTTCAGGGACACGTCACCCGTGTTACTGTTCCTGCAGCTGCTGCCGGGGTGATGTCTGTGACGGCTTTTGCCCACTGCTGGCGTTTCCATCTCCGCCATCACTGCTGTCACGGGACAGCTACCACAGTCTCTACTGTCACCTAGCTGCCACACCTTCTGTCCTTGCCGTGGCTTCTTCACGGCGTGTTACCAGCTCAGCCCACTTGATTCATGATGAAGATCAAACTAGGCAAGAAGAAGAGTGCTCAGGAGAAGCCTCACTTGGCAGCGGCAGGCAGGAGGGTGAGTGAGGCTGGCTCACAGAGTGGCCACGAGTCTGCTATGTAGCCAGATCACCTCTGGGCATAGTGTCACCATCCCCTCTTTATCATGAAACCATGGCCCTAGTCAGGCAGGGAAGTCAGTGAAAGGACACAGTGGGAGCAAGGTAATCCGTCATGGTAACAAGACTGTTCGTGCCCACTCATGGGAGTAGAGAGGGCATAGAGTTACCAGAGCCTTACCTGGGGTTGTATCTGCCACTGCCTTCTGGCCCGAGCTGTGCATGATACTGGAGGTGGTCCAGTATATAGGAAGTATCTATATAAGTGGTTCCCAACCTTCCTCAATGCTGTGACCCCCAACCATAAAATTAATTTCATTGCTACCTCATAACTGTAATTTTGCTACTGTTATGAATTATAATAATAGCATCTGATATGCAGAATATCTGATATGTGACCCCCAAAGGGGCCGAGACCCACAGGTTGAGAGCCACTGAAGTGGAATTACTGTGAGTGGTACTTCCTGATGCAGCATCCAGTACGGTCACTAAAAGAAGGAAGAAAGGAGTGATAGGTTTATAAACGGGAGCTGACACGAAATTACCCTTCGGGTGGGCTTTGTTAGGGAGAGACAGCCTATGACCGCAGCCATCTGTGTCTTCTCACTCAGGTGACCAGGCCTCGAAGCAGCAGAGTGTTAGAAGAGAGCCGGCGCCATGCCATAGGCAGCAGCATGGTGGGACCTTGAAGGGTGAGCCTTCAATTTCAGAGAACAAATGGGTCCCTGTCTCTTAAAGGTTTTCTTGTGTGGATGAGGGGAGCTCCATGTTATGTGATCTAGCTTGACCTGACCTATGTGCGGAACTCAAGACGGCACTGGTAGAGCTGTAATTGAGGGTTGTCTTTGGTCTAGGAATTGAGTGGGGGTTGGGCTTGCTCATGTCTGCGTGTGAGAACAGAAGTGCAAGGCCACAGCACAGTCCACTATCTTATCAACTCTGTCAGACAGACAGAGAGAGAGAGAGTTACAGGGGGTAGCCTCATTGCTGACATCAAGTTTTCCTGTAGATGGGCTTTGTTATAAAAGAGATCTTCATGGCCACAGGCAGCTGTCCATGATCAGGCCTTGAAATGACAGAGGATTAGAAGAAAGGGAACACCATACCAAAGGCAGTGTGGTACAAGCCTTAAAGGGAAAGACTCCAATTCTGAAGAACAAAGAAGTCTTCTGAGTCAAGGTAACTAAAGATTCTGGGACCTAACAGTAATTATTCTCGATAGGGTGGGACATTTTCATAATGCACCTTTTTGGCTTTTGTTGTTTTTGTTTGTTTGTTTTTTAAGTCAGCCACACTCCTATAAGTAACCCTTCACCCATGCTTCTATAAGTAAGCCCAATAAACTCTCTGGTTCACCAAGTGGGACCTGGAAGCATCATTCCTTTAGTCTGTTGGTGGAGCTTGATCTGGGGTGAATATACGTTTATTCCCATCTCCCCAGGAAAGCCACACAACACTGCAACTCCACCTTCAGGAGCCAGAGTCGTGCCCGGCAGCAAGGAGCTGTGGTTATCGTGAGTCTTCCTAGAAAGCTAGTGGTGGCCTGAGGCTCATCCAAAGGGCTGTTTAATGGGCAGTCCTTAGTCCAAGGAAGCCAAAACCAGGGGACAGCCGAAGGGCTGTTCATGAGGGGCACACATTGCCCCATTCTCCAAAGTCTTGGCTTATTTACAGGGGAAAACGTGCATCATAAGTACTCACAAGATTAACAGTGATTTTAATAGGGTTTAACAGCACTTTAACAATGTTAAACAGCTACTCAGAACTTGAACAAAAGTGATCCTCAGTCTGTCCTCGCTGGTAGAGGCCTAGTGGGATGAGGTTTGAAACTTACACTGGAGAGGGGACAAGCATGAGTGATGACCTCTGTTGTCTAAAACACTGGTTCTCAACCTGTGGGTCACCTTGGCATTGCCCAACAACAGGGGTCACCTAAGACTATTGGAAAACAAATACTTACATTATGAGTCATAACAATAGCAAAATTACAGTTATGAAGTAGCAACAAAAATCATTTTACGGTTGGGGTCACTTGTATTAAAAGTTTGCAACATTAGGAAGGTTGAGAAACACTGGTCTAAAACCAATTAAACTCCACTAAGGAGTCATCAGTGGTTCAGGACTAAGATATCTCCAGTGTGCACTGTCAGGATTCATCGTTGGCTCTTAGGCTCTGTTCCTCCAGCCTTGCCTCCTTTTGATGTATCCTGAGCATTCATGATTGCATAAAATGTGAGGATCAGATCCTATCTCTACTCTTGGAGAAACAGAATATTCATATATACAGACAGAGATCTGGGGCATGATCAGAGACGTGATTTTGCTGAGAAGAATGAGCCTGCACACTCATGCGCATGGCTTGCTGGGGGTGTCAGGAGCTGTGATAGCAGGCAGAAAATGAGAAGAAACTAGAAAACAAAAGTCCAAAGGTTTTGTAATAAGGTCTTGACATCACAGTCTTACAGACTTCCATATTCTGTATCAATCAGGAGATGTGAAAATGATCCCTTTCCAAGCTGAGAATTCCGGATCTGCTGTTGGATAAGACCCTGAGCCATTGACTGTTTTCAAGTCTGGGCATGGCCAAAAGCAGCTTGGAGGCTGCTCCAGCTCTCCTTGCAGGACTCAGGAAGATCTGTTAGGAAACACTTCCTGTGCAGCCAGGTGAGAGAGGCTGCTGCTCCTTCCGGTTTCCGCTGGAAGGCGTCATGGCCAGCTGTGGATACCGAGGCAGGAAGAGCCAAAAGCAGGGGGAGGCCAGGGGAAGTCTGGGAGGAAAGTCAGACTTGGGGATGTCAATGAGGCTGTGCTGGGCATGGAGGACAGAGGAGCCTGGAGTCTGAAGCAGGGTCAGTACTGCAGGAGACACCTGATCGAAGCACTGTGGGAAAACTGGGCCTTGGGGTCATATTCAAGGGCAGGCAGAGCTTGTTAGGAATCAGCACCAGCTTGCAGGACAGATCCTTGGCTGATGGGGAAAAAAAAAATCTCTTCCATGGGATGAAAGGCCAGAACATCACCAGAGGCCAAGTCTACCCTCATCTTTCACCTTCTAGAAACTTCTACTGCATCTGGTCTTAAAGGCCCAGCCATCTAGTGTCTGTTCTAAGCCTATTAATGTCAGGGATATGGGAGGGGGTCCACAAGGGCCCACATTTCAGTGTGGCAGTGACCTGAATTTGCTGCCTTGTTGTGTAGCTGCTGAGTAGGGCTGGGAAGCCAGCCGCCTCTAGGCATTTGTACCCGAGCTTTTACATTAATAAAAGCCCTTTATTTTCAGAATGTTTCATGTGTTTCTGTTGTGGAATGTGTAATAATCATGTGTTGAAGTATCACAAAACCAACTTGGAAAAACCCATGTAACCAGTAGTTGAGGGTGATGTTAGGGCTTCCGGATAGCTCTCTGTGCCAAAGTGACCTCCCTCCATGGTACAGATGTTTCTAGACAAGCTTCTCAAGATACTAAGGCACTCTCTTTCCCGTGTCTAGGCTCCCAGAGCTTCCATATTCCATCTCTACATTAAGAGTGAAAGCTGTAAAATGGTCTTGGGGTTTTTTGTTTTGTTTTGATTTATTTTGTTTTTCAGGATGAAAACAACCACCAAAAATATAAGACAATCTGATATTTGACCCAAATAAGCCAGATAGTTAAGCACAGTGTTTACATGTGTGTTCTCTTCCCTTTTCCTCCTTTGCCTAGAGGCATGCTTTCAGATAATTCCTGCACTTTAGAATATATGATTCCACCAGAAAAGGGGTGGACAGTCTAGTGCCTGCTTTGATGTGCTTCATCCTTGTCATTTTAATGGCCCTGCATTCTTATGTCCTCTCATGACCTTGAATGTCCATGGAAGGGGTTACCTTACCAGTCCCATGTTTGCAGCCTCAGCCCAGAACCTATAGAAGGCCATCCAGGAATCTGGCCTTGGCTGCTGGAAATGGCAAGAGTATTTGCTAAAGAATAACCCTACCTTCATCCAGGACAAGCATCTGTCCTCACTGGAATATCTTCCTCTAGCCTGTGCTAATCATTCCCAAGAAGCTCCTGAGGTCGAGGCCCAGGTGCCACCTGCCTTGTTTGGCTCCCAAGTTTTTCAAAGGATCCTTGGTTGCTTGCCAAGTACAACTCTCTCTGAGAAACTCCAGAAGCCTACTCTAGGTGTCATGTGCCAGAAGCAGTTGGTACACCAAGAGGAGAAGTTGTTGGCCACAGAAGGATCTAGAATCTACCCTATTTGGAAGGATACATGCTTGTAGGCACAACACCCATGTTACCAAGTCTCGGCTTTGTTAGGCAGGTGAAATGATGCCAGGGAGAGAGGGTCTGATGGGAAAATGCCATCTGAAAACTGTGTGGAGGGTAGAGATAAGAGGGATAGTGTTATGAGCAGCATCCATCTTCTTCTTCTTCCCATTTCCAGTCCTTCCCGGTATTTCTGGCATGTTCCAAGAAGCCTAGGGTGAGAGTTCAATGCCCAACAACAGCAAACAGTGCTCTCTTGGTCTCCTGGAGCTCGTAGTCAGAAATGACTCTTCCCTCAGAATGGGTGCCGTTTGGGAGTTGTTCTAGGTACTGAATGCGCTTTGCCTTATTTCATTTTGTGTCACTCTCTTTTTAAACTATCAAAGTTTTTATTGTTGCTGTTTAAAAGTTTTTAATTCTTTAAAAATTTCACGCATGCACGCATGCATATTTTGATCAAGTCCACCCCATTCCTTTCAGTTCCTCCCTTCTACCCTAGAAAATACTCTCTCTGATTTCACATGTTCTTTCTTTAACCCATAGAGGCCACTTAGTGCTCAGTATGTGTATGGTAAGGTCATCTCCTAGATCCTCTCAGGGCCTACATCCTTGAAGAAAACAGTCTCTCCCTTCTCGTAGTAGTTATCAATTACCAAAAGCTACTCAGGAAGGGGTGGGCCAGTGTGGCTGCCTTACTCCTCCATGTGGGATTTTAGCTCCTTGGTTGTGTGCATGCTGCCACAACTGACGTGAGTGCATAAATGCAGCCACCCTACCCTGTGTCCTGGAAATACTGTTTTGCTGTAGTCACTCACTGTGTCTGCCTCTTATAATCTTTCTGCCCCCTTTTTGGCAATGATCCCTGAGCCTTAGGAGGGGATGATGTGATAGAGATATTCTGTTCAGGGGATGATGTGATAGAGATATTCTATTCAGGGGATGATGTGATAGAGATATTCTATTCAGGGCTAAGCACTCCATAGACTCTTATTCTCAGCACGTTCACCCATTTATGGGTCTCTGTTAAGTGCTATTACGGCAAATCGAAACTTCTTTGATGAGGGTTGGCAAATTTATGGGTATAAAGATAAATCCTCAGGAGTATGTTTTATACTATGTCCATTTAATACAGTGGTTCTCAACCTGTGAGTTGTGATCCCTTTGGGGGTCAAGCAACCCTTTCACAGAGGTTGCCTAAGATCATCAGAAAACAGTTATTTACACTGTGATTCATAACAGTAGCAAGATTCCAATTGTGAAGTAGCAATGAAAATAATTCTGTGGTTGGGGGTTATCACAACAGGAACTGTATTAAAGGGTCACAGTGTCAGGAAGACTGAGAACCACTGATTCAGTAGAGTAACAGAGTAACAGTAGGCCTCCTCTGGGGCCGATGGCATTCCTGGCCATGGTTTCCTGGCCCCACCAATGGTGCCAGGCATGAGGTCTGCCTTGTAGAACCGGCCTTAAATCCAATCAGAAAGTGGTTGGTTACTCCCGTAACAGCCATGCCATGATTGCACCAGTGCGTATGTCATGCGAGTCATTATTGTAGCTTGCAAGGTCCACAGCTGGGTAAGACTGATGATTATTTTTCACCTATAGTGTTCATAGCACCTTCCAGTACTCTGAAAGTTTGTCAGGAGGAACGAAGCTTTCAGTCAGTTCCAGATTGATTTCTCTACACTGTACGACTCAATTATGTGATATCTTCAGCAGTCCAGTCTTTTCCTAAAGTTCTGAAAGGTAGTCAGGAGTAATAACAATAGATCATAGTGGTTGGGGTGCTATGGAGACCCAGTGACCAACAGTTTCAAAGGAGATAAGCCGTTCCCAGGACTGAACTTCTTATTTGATAGCTTGTGGTGTCTAGAGAGGTCTTGTCTGCCTTGTAATAGGATAACTCCTTTTAATATCTCTTCTCTC